TAAGCCCATGTCTCATGAGCTCTGATTGGCCGATGTGTGGTTGGAATGCACAAAAATGAGAGAGCTGGAATGTTTCTACCAAAAAACATCTCTTAGTTTTTGTCTGGGGTTCTGATGTTGTTAATAAGCATCTGTGTAAAATACCATTTCACTTTGGATACGTTCACACCACAGTTGAATGTGGCCCATTTTTTATTTTATATATATTATATATATTTTTGTATACTGCATGAATCAAACATTTTTAAGTCCTAACAGTGCTAATTCAGTTACTAATTCAGCAGTTATTCACATTCTCAATGTTTTTCTTCTTCTTCCTTTAATTCAGTGAAACTGAATATATTATATTTGTTCTTATGGGAGGTCCATCATCTCGGATCACCCTCAATTCAAACATTATACTGTATTTCTATCTGATTCAAACTGTCAAGAAGTAATTTCAGAATTAATAGGTTTTTTTTTACATCTGTCTACCTGGATGTAATATGAGGCTTGATTTGCTTCTAAAATAAGTTAAGAATTTCACTTTATGAAGATTACACAAAAAAAGTGTAATGTATAAAATGTTTGTTTGTTTGTTTGTTTATTATTGATATACTTTGACACTGGCTTTAAACAATGGCATAAAGTGATACTAAAAGTTATTAGACAATGAAGAGCAATGATTGAGAGAGATTTTAGAAAGAAACTTTTCTAAAGCTTTTATAATTTGATACAATAAGAAAATATGATATTATTCCACGTCATGCCAATGTAGGGTGATCATTAAAAGGTCCTTTTGGCTTGCGATGTCAATGTAACCTTTGCCGTTTTCCCCAAATGGACACACACCTGAGTGAAAACTTTGCCTTTAAGACACACGTTTACCAAAAAACTCATAGCATACCCGGGATATGTGTAAACAGTGGGCTACGTCTGTTCATTGCTGTCATCTAAGTATGAAGCGCTTAACGGTTATCCTAAAAACCGGTACAGTGGAAACAGTCTATATTTTTCCATCTGGGTTTCAGCATGCAGTGAATAGTGAATTTCACACTGCCGGTATTTGTCCATCTCAGAGAATATCTGACCAGCACACACGTGAACCATGTTGTTTAGTGAGCACTGACCCCTGAGTGAGTTTCAATGAATGCCGTTTAAACTTGTGACTGCGTTTGTTTTAATAAAACAAGCCATCCACTTCAGTGAACCTCTGTGAACATTGATTCATATCTTCATCAGCAGCCACCGGCGCAGATGTAGTGCGGTTGCTTTATGTACCTACTGGCATACACTTTGAGAAAGCAGACCAGAGAGTGTATGTGTGTGTGTTGGAGGCGGAGGGACTAGGGGCTTTATTTGTTCATCTGTCTCAGCGTTAGTGTGAGTTCTGGAGAGCTACTCAATGAGAATCCATCTGAGAGAACCACAGGACTCGAACTAGTGTGCGACTTTTAACACGTCACAATGAGGGTGAGTGAGTCGTTTTCATTGCATTCTTTTATCAGGGTTAGTTTTATTTTGCATATAAAAGTGTATTTAAGTCTAAATATACCATAAAACTAGTGTTTGATTACCAATATTGTACTTTTAAACACATTAAACTGGCATATTCAGTCAGTGTGCATGCATATTCAGTAGTCTGTTGTTATTCAGTCATATGTGTTGTGACCAGGGCTTAAACAGATTCCTTCATGTGTTGAATTTGTGCTCCTTTACAGCGCAATTAAACCGGATATTGCTTTAGAAGTGTTCAGGTAGCCCCAGTTTTGATTGGAAACACTCATGAAGGCCTATAAACTCTGGGATCAGAGGCTTAGCAGGCCTGTATGGAAACACATCAAATGATTATATTCCCTCCTACGGTTCCTACAGCCTCTGTGTGTTTCAGAGCGCTTTTAAAACTCAGGGTGTGCCACCATGATCTTAAACTATTTCCTTCGCCTGGGGGACCCTGCTAATGATGACAACTACAGAGGACCCTTTAAACTCATAAATGAGTGTTGTGCACATTGGGGTCTACTGTAGTCCTGGTCTTAAGTGAAAGCCTCTGTGTTCAAAAATCTCTAAAATGGGTGATGTTGCTCTTGGCTTTAGTGGAGTGGCGTGAAGTGGAGATAATTAGCTGTTATTGTATACAGCAATTACTGGTGCAAATTGTAGTTGACGAGTAGTTTTCTGTGATATCACCCCTTTGGTATTAGAAGGGTCTCTGGGATGTTACAGAGCGGGCCGGGGAAGCCTGAGGAATGAAAGCTTTTCGTAATTCAGATGTGTAATTTTCTGGAGGAGACAGTCCTGTCAGGTGAAGACATGTTGATGTGATTCTGATAAGTGATTGAAAGTTCTCCTGTCACAGTTAATCAGTTTCAATGGTCTCTCTGAGCCTAGTTTAAACCAAACACATTGGCTCAAAAATGTATATTCAATCATGTGTGCACAGCTCTGGAAAAAAAATGAAGAGACAAAAATTTGCAGTTTATATGTGTCTGTTTAAGTCAAATGAATTTTTTTTTTCTTTGCCAGGAGTGGCATAAAGTCGCCCAACGGCAATGTGACCGATTGATGGGGAGCATGCTAAGATGCATGAAAGCTGTGATTTTAAATCAGGATTATTTCACCAAATATTGATTTCTGATCTCTTCTTAGATTAAAACAGTATTTTGTTGTTTAAAAATGAATATGTACTTGTTTTCTTTGCATTATTTGAGGTCTAGTTGTCATTTACTGCAAATAAATGCTAATTTGTGTTTGAAATTTGGAGTAAATGTTGGCTGTAGTTTAGAGATGTCAAAAATATGAATTAAAAAAACAAAAAAACGAACATAAATAATAAATTCAGAGCAACTGCTGATTTGGCAGTGGTCTCTTAATTTTTTCCAGACCTCTACTTTTGACTTTTGCATACTACTGCACTGTAAAAAAAAATATTGTTGGTTTAACTTAAAATTTTAAGGCAACCAGGTTACTTATTTCTTTAAGTTCGTTGAAATTGAAAATTTGAGTTAATGCAATGGAGATTGATTTAATCATCAGAAACTCAAAATATTATGTTATCTGAACTACATAAATTATCTAAGTTGATTTGATAAAAGAAGAAATGTTGTGATAACAAATCTTGAATTTTTTTTTACAGTGTGTACATATTAATTATATATATATATATATATGCATGCACACATTGAATATGCATATAAAAGTATAATTCTACTTAAAGCTGCAGTCCATAACTTTTTTGTGTTCAAAATTTACAAAAAAAAATATATAATATAATGAGCAAGTACATCATAGATCCATTTTCCAAACCGTGTTTTTGACTTATCCTGAATCACTACGGTTCACCTATAATAAGTATTTAGATGTAATTATTTTAAACTGGTTCGGGTTGCACTACTGCAGAGTAGCCCAGTACCTGCGTGACTCGTCATAGACATAAACAGCGAGAAGTAATTCTGGCTACAATGTTCTTCCGCAATACCGTTTTGTTGATTAACTGTTAGAGCGCCAAAAGTTACGGACTGCAGCTTTAAGTAGCGTTGATGGGAAAGAGCCATGGGAACAGTCTGAACTGATTCTCTGCTATGTTCCTCCTCTCAGTGTGATCTTGGAGATTTAGTGGGCTGATGATTACAGGTTGGACTAATTAAGGGTTTGGAGAATACTCATCACAGTACTCCACAAATCACACTGAGCTCATCGAGTCTCTAGAGGACATCAAAGAGAGCACACACAACCTTCTGGAATACCAGCCTTCCTCTTTTTGTTTATCTTCCTTTTCTAGTGTAGATCTAAACATCTGCAATTATTTCAAGTCCTGCAGCAGGGGTTTTCTAGGTGGGGGTTTGTTGTGGACTGGCTCCCAAGAGATTTCATGTAAATTAATGTCTTTTTAAATGTACACTATATACTCAATAAGGCTGCATTTATAATATTGTATACACTTGTAAACAATAATATTGTGAAATAATACTGGAAATTGAAATAGCTATTTCCTATTTAATATATTTAAATTGCAATTTATTCCTATTTATTTTTTTATGGAACACTTTTCAGGTTTTTATAATTAATATAAAGTTATTTGTTGGAAATAGTAGTCTTTTGTAACATTATAAAGGTCTTTACTGTCACATTTGATCAATTGAATGCACCCTTGATTAATACAAATAATATTTAATTTCCCCCCAAAAAACAAACGCTTAACTTTTGAACGGTATTGTATAAAATTAAAAAAAAAAAAAAAACATAATTTGTAAATACATGAAGATGTACAATTCAAGATATTTCTATGCTGATTAGCATTGCAAACAAATATTTATTTCGTTATTTAATCATTTAAGTCATAGGACAAAATTTGTTACCCCTGTCCTAGAGATAATATACATTTTATAGGCAGCCAAGTATTCAAATATTCATTGTCAGCCATTCAATCATCGCTAACTGGTTGCACAGTAATAATATGCTGCAATTGCATCAATAAATTGTATTTTTAGGACCTAAACAGCATTTTTACATGCCTTATAACCACACAATACATTACAGCAAACCTGGCAAGCATTTATCCTGAAAACGTGAAAAGTTAATTCTTTCCATTTGAGAGCCATACAGACGGATACCATACTCGGTCTAGAGCAAATGTCATGCAATGGCCAAAGGTCACACAGAGAATGTGTCTTTGAGGTGGGCTCGACTGGCTTAAGAGGGCAGCTGTTACCACATTCAGACCCCCCAGGCTGACACGACGTAAGATCTGTGTAGTTGCATAGTTGTGTCCATGTCTGCTGTAAGTGAGGGCCTGTTCTGACAAGCGCATTGCTCTGAGTGTTTGTATGTGCTGAAGACAGGGCCTGATAACAGTCGCTCCAGACAGTGGCGCTTCTGTTTATTTCCTCTCCTCACTCTTCAGATTGGCATCAGTAACTTGGATGCTGAGTGCCAGAGGCTGGCGCAGAGGAAATTAGATAACGTGAGGGCAATTTTTGCCACCCCTGACTCATCTTATGTTGCTCTCTCTTGTGTTTTAGGAACGGCAGCGGCTGGAGACAATCTTGAACCTATGCGCCGAGTATAACAAGGGTGACGGGCCGGCGGGAGATCTGGGCAGGATGGGCGTCTCTGGGCTCGGCTCGAGGGAAGGGCTTAACAGACGTCCTTCCATGGACAGTGTGAGCAGCGCTTCGCTGAAGGTGGCGCAGAGACATTGTGAAAGCCAAGAGGAGAACCTGAAGGAGGACAGCAGTAGCACTGAGAGTGCTCAACAGGACCGACGGACCCTACCAGTTCTGCTAAATGGGCAAAATGGACAGGTCGGACTCTATTTCCTTATTTATATCAGAGCAGTTGATGTATTATTGTGTCACTCTATGTGTTTTGTATGTGCAAATTAGTGTCTGGTTTAAGACATGCGTCATTTGGGCTGTAAATAATGGCACAAATACCAGTAAATTGATGATATTGTTAGTGGCCTTTAATTTAAAATGTGTTTAAATAGAAAACAGTTATTTTAAATTGTAATAATATTTCACTGTAGTTTTGATCAATTAACACAGCCTTGATGAGCATAAGATAATTCTTTCAAAAACAAACAATTCTTACTGACCCCAAACTGAATGATGGTGTACCTAAACAGTAAATCACATAAACTGAGTGTGATGTGTATTTAGGCAGAGGACTCTTTGGGATCGGGCAGCATTGGCCGTCTGGAACTGGGGTACCTGGAGGAGGAGCGGGTTCGAGTGCTGGCAAAGGTAGATGAACTCAAAGGTCGAATCACAGAACTGGAGCAGCAACTTCAGGAGTCCAAACAGGAGGTGAACCGTTCTCATAAACTTCTGTATTGCTGGTTAAATACACTGAAAAATATACAGGAAGTCCTAATTATAGTGGATAAGAGCAGCAGGAAGTGATGCGTGGTGGAACAGAGAATGTCAGATGGATCTCTAGGGTGTGTTAATGGGGACTTTGTGAGAATTGCTCTATCTGACGTGTTGATCTGGACAGGCGGAGATGGAGAGAGCTCTGCTTCAGGGAGAGAGACAGGCCGAGCTGGAGCAAATCGAGGCCGAGACTGAGATTATCAACCAGCTGCAACGCAAACTCAGCGAACTGGAGAACAGTATCCAGAGAGAAAAAGACAAAGTAGGACCCTCACACCACATACAAGCACACATATCCATAATTTACTGTACCTTGCTGAAAAATCCAGCATAATCCAGCTTGAATGTTGTTCCAGGCTAGTATAGAGCTGGTCTAGCTATCATCAGCACTCCTGCTTCCCATGCTGGTAAACAGCAAACCAGCAATCTATTTTGTTCCCAGCATGTAAAACATAAACCTTAAGCTGGTGACCAGCAATGCTATATTTTTCAGCAGGATATACATTCATTTGTCATTTAGATATAAAGGTGCGGTCATATTTATTATTGTTCTGCAAATTTTCCAGTAATAACAATAGGAATCTGCAAGTTTTGCAGATTTTGCAAGTTTGTCCCATGAATTCAACAGAGAGCTGCTTGAGCTGATTTCTTAATGAGTGGCGCTTCATACATCTACACCATTGACAATGGACAATCGACCTTGTTTTGCCCACGTAATTTGTGACCGCACCTTAATTGTGAAGTGAAGAGTTTCAAATCCCCGTCTGGACTGTGTTTTTGTTTTATACTGTTGAGCCTCTCTGGACTGAACAGCCCTTTCTGGTCTCTGACATTCCTTAAAGGCATGCCATTCTGCCGGATGGCCACTCAAGGCCCATTCTGGTCTCGATTGCCATCCCAAGGTAAAAAACAAAACAAAGCGCGACATTGCCCATCCAAACTAGCCGAACCTCTTCCCATTATATCTGGTCATTCTACAATAGAGGATCTGAAGATGATAGTCACATTTAAATGCAGTTCACTGGTTTAGTTTGGGTAGAAAACCAAGGTACTGTTTGGTTATCAAGCATTCATTCACAAGAGGTATTGTCTTTTTCCTCTTCTTTTGTGGTGGTTCTCATCAGGTCCTCTACAAAGCTTGGCAACACTAACAAGCCTTCATTAACCTCTAATCTCCTCACTGCTTTTTTTTTCTGCACTCACAGTCTCTCCGTTTCTAGTGCTCGCCCCCTCGAGTTCAAAACTGTTTAGCTTAGCGCAAACCCAGGCTTTGGGATTAGCGCACTGGCTTTGAGGGACAATAGCTCCAGTGGTGCGAGACTCGGTGACTGACAATGTTTGTCTTTTAGAAAGCCTTTTCCTGCATGTTTTGGAAATCCAGCCTTTATTTCTTCCATTCATCTTGTTCTCGGTTTCTCTGGGTATTTTAGTATTTTTCAATTCTGCCAAGTATTAGGCTCTTGGAGAAATGTTTAAAGTGATAGTTCACCCAAAAATGTTTAATTCAGTCAATATGACTTTTGTATGACTTTCTGTCTGTGGAACGCAAAAGGAACTTTTGAACAAAGTTCTTTTTGTTATTTTCCATGCAATTACAGTGAATGGGAACCGAAGCTCAGGTTTAAAAAAAAGGTATATCCCAAGTAATATGATAGGTTTGTTTGACAGACAGACAGGCCAAAATTTAATTTCTAATTTAGAGTTGTAAGTTGTATATAAAGCTGATTCAGGCTAATTTTTGAACAAATCAGTTGAAAAATTCTCCTTTTATGTTCCACAGAAGGGAAAAAAAAGCTCAAATGGGTTTGAAATGAGATGATCGGGCGAGCAAACAATTTCCATTATTGGGTGAACTAAGAATTTCTCTTGATATAAAGAGTTTATTCAAAGACTCTGCATCAATCTGGATTGGTCCATTGTCCATTCCGGCCTTATTTATAAATTTGTTTGCTTTGAGTTTAAACCCTTTTCTCCTCATGGGGATGGCTGTCACCAAAGCTCATGTTACCAGTCCAGTCACTGACCGGCTGTAATTTGTACTAGATTGATTTTGACCTCAATCGATCTGTGCAGTGTTCGTGTAAACATGGATAATTCCCCTATAAACCTTGAAAATGGCTTTTCTTTAAACAGAATGTTGTTCTGTCTGTGCTTTGATATATTGATTTTTTTTTTACGTGCTTTAATTCTGCTCATTTTGGTCTGGAAGAGAGCACAATTGCATGAATTCAATGTGCATTAGAGTATCTCAGCATATGTAGACATGGAACTATCTCAGGACTAACTTTAAAAAAATATATATATATGAAGTATCAAGTATGATGCTATTGCAAATCTTTCTTTTTATGATAAAAGAAAGAAAAAAAGCCAGCTTCAAACTAGCCAGCTATTTCCTGCCCTTTGGTATGGCATAATAACAGCACATACCAGCAGAAATTCATTACATCTGAAATCTTTGATCAAGAAATGCCTGAGAACAGAAGTCTGTTTGGCCCTGTAGATGGCCTAAAGTCCAGTGTCATGTAGTTCATAGTGTTTTATAAGGCTTAGTGTTCATCCTTTCTGGCTCCACCCACTCTGTTGTGACCTCTAACCTCGGCCGCTTCTGCATGGCATGGATTTGAGCTGTGTTCTCTTTCTCTCCCTTTCCCGGATGGTGTGTTTTCTTTCTAGGAGAGGGCTAATGTTGACGTGGAGCGGGAAGCCCTGGAGAGGCTTCAGGATGGGTACAATGAGTTGAAGAGCCAGCTCCATAACTGCCCTGAGTCTCTGAGGGAGCAGTTACAGGAACAACTCAAGAGGGTCAGTGACTGTCAGGAACATCAGCACTTTACCAACTGCTTCCGCCCCACAACCCTGGCTTCATAAACCCCACCTTCCAGATACACAACTAAGTTCTATTGGGCTGTCTATGCACCAAATCCATCATGATGATCCCAGCAGAAATATTATTCCACGTTTATTATTATTACAAATTATTGTCACTGGGAACACCATGTTTAAATCTTGTCTGCTTTAGTTTAGTGCACTGAAGAAAGGGTCTAGATTTTTTTTTTTTTTTTTTTGGGAAATAAACTCGTGTTCAGTGGTGAAATCAAATGTTGAGAACTTTGCATGCTTTGGGGTGTATTATTGAGGTTTATTAATGCTACTGTCTGGTTTCAAAGTTATAATACCATTTAACTTTGTACTAATCTATTAATGCAGAAACTAACATAGTGCTATAGTGTTGTTTTGACACCTCTCACATGATTTTTCCCCCAATCCAGTTAAGCGCAAAATCCGCCCCACAGACGATTTCATTGGTCAATGCAATCACGCAGTCACCTGTCAAAGCGAGTTCAGATTTCAGAAAAAATAATGGATGGATTAGATCAGAGAGGGTAAAGGGTTAGGATAGGGCCAGGGTTTAGTATTTGTTTCAGTATGATATAGGGAATCAGCACAGCAGCACTGTGATTGCATGACCAATCCAATCTTTTGAATTGCTTAGGGTGGAGTTAGCGTTAAACTTGTCTTGGAGAAAATCATGCACTTCTCTCTTTATATACCACACAGATTGATACTTTTGCCAAAATTGTTTTTGATTTGATTTGTGTAAAAAGACGGTCAAATTCAAAGCAGGACATTTTTGTTTGAAATATGAAGAAATGTCTTATTTCTTATTTTCCTTTTGATTAGCATGAGTAAAGGAATCTCTCCTGACAGTGCTTGGGCAGTGGTTTTGATGACTAGCCCTTTTTGCAAACGGAAATATCTAGGGCTGCCCCCAAATAGTCGACTAAATGTTAGTCGATATGAGGAGGGCTTGGTCGAATACATTTTCATTAGTCGGTTAGTCGCAAAAAAAATATATATATATATTACTTGAAAAAATTACGCAATCAGGGGCTGCGCAGTCAGTGTATGACATGACATCAAAGCAACCAGAGATCAACGAGATCTCGTGCCTCGCGGTATACCAAAACGCACTTGTGGGAGAGGTATCGGAAAATATCGCGACCAACAAGCTGTTGTCTTAGACTCACGTTTAAAGAGCTTGTCATTCTTTGACCAACACGAACGAGAAGATGCGTACTCCACAGTGTCGGATCTGACAGAAATTTTATCTACAGAAGCTGCGCGCCAGAAAGTGATCATGACCGTATTAGCCTTGCGGAGGGTGAGCTCGAAACCGAATAAGGAAAATTGATGAGGAGGAGCATGCAGAAGAGAAGGATGAACTAAAAATGTAGCTACTTGGCAGATAAAACAAAGGTTGATTCGGGACCATTGGCATGGTGGCAAAAAAATTAACATCGATATTCAAAGCTCGCTAAAGCAGCTAAACGCCTCCACATCCACTCCATCAGAGCGCATCTTTTCAAAGGCCGGCTTCATTGTGAACATGTCGAGAAGCTCCCTTCTTCCCAACAATGTGGACAAGCTGGTGTTCCTCTCACATAATATGAAAAAAATTAAATCGAATTGAAAGCTTAGGTAAGAATAATTAATTTCATTTTTGAAGTGTTTCTGTTTGCGATCCGTTAGGCTATATAAAAAACAAAAACAAAAAAAAAACGGATATTTTTATAACGGTTAGTCTATACAAATAAATAAATACTATTTTTATTTATTCGTTTTTATATAATGCAGAAGTCGTTTTTTATTCTAAGAAAAATTAGTCTGATGTTTGCAATTTGTTGTTTCAGGTTAAGACTCATCCATCGTCTTAAATGGCAGTTTGCGGCTTTGCTCTGATATTTTTGTCCTTTAAATTAGCATATTTGTTCCACATTTTTTTTAAATATAGTTGTTCTAAACAATTTAATCAAATACTTAGGCTGTTGATTTGTTTGCCGCCTTTTTTATTCGCAATATAAGTTTTGGCGTTCTGCGATATGCCATGTGCATTTATTAAATTGTTCGTTTATTAATTTTCCTTTTGAACAATATAAAAAATATATTAATTTAATTTTCCACTGTATTGTATACCAAACAGTGTTTTTGCTACAGTATTATTTATTTTTTGCCTTCTTTTGTAGGCTACTAGGCCTAAGTTACTAATAAGTTTATTTAATTTATTTTAAAGAACGAAATTTATTTTATTTTATTCAAAACTGTTTTTTTTTCCATTTAACTGTTACAGTTTGTATTTTTGATAATAAATTATTAAAATGCACACTTGCACAGGCAGTCTGATTGCTGTTTTTTTATTCTACAATAACGTGTCGTAAGCGTTGTATACTTTAAACGCTTTACTATTCTGTTTTAAGCGCTTAATTTTCAGTTTGAACGTGCTAATATCATGCTTTAGCATTTTCTGTCATATGGAAGTGTTAAACTTCAACTTTGGACTATTCCTTTCCTTGTATATACGCAAGCTTTTATATTAATATCATAAATGAACGATTATTCGACTAATCGCTAAAATGCAGGAGTGTTAGTCGACTAGGAATATCTTTAGTCGGGGGCAGCCCTAGAAATATCCCAAGGGTTGCACGAGAGAGAAGAGATGTCATTTGTGCACTGAGCATTCAAGCCTTACAATGTCAGAAACGCTATGATGAATTGACAGCAAGGGCTTGCCAATGTCCTTGAGATTTGTATATAGAAATGACAAGACTTCCCTACATTATAAACAGATTGTGTTGCCTTTCATGAGATTCATTTATATTCTGAAATAAGTCGTCTCATAGATATTCCTCATTTTCCAGAGTCATCAAATTTGATTTGATGTACTTGGATTTCAGTTGGATAATATGATATGGTAGATCTTGAAGGATTCTGGAAGAGTGTATTATTCCACATAGATCTGTGTGTGGCACAAAGTTTTTCAACTGGACCCCTGGGAATAGTTAGTGCAGAAAGTTTGAAATTAAATATACATGTAAAGCATATATAATGTGTTGCAATATTCTCTATATTTCATAATGTTAATATAAAATTAATTAATATTTTGAATAAAATAATTAACAATTAGATGGGCTAGATAAGATTGACATCCCCTTAGCATAACGTTCCAATCAGTTCCTCCCAGTGGCTTCCTAAAGGGATAGTTGCCCAAAAAATAAATAAATTTTGTCATTGCTTACTCACCCACTTGTTTTTCCAAACCTGTATGAGTTTCTTTCTTCTGTGAAATACAAAATAAGTTATTTTAAAGAATGTTCAACCCGATCTCACGACCAAGTTGTAGGAATTCGACGAATGATTAAAAAGTGGCTAATTCGTAACAATTCATATGACCTCACTCGTATGAATTAATACGATTCTGCTAAAGCGTACATATTTTACGAATTGGCCAATTCGTATGAATTCGTACGAATTACCTACCCCTGACCCCGCCCCTAAACCTAACCATCACGTGGGTTTAGACAAATCGTACGAATTAATACGAGTGAGGTCGTACGAATTAGACACTTTTTAATCATGCGTCGAATTCGTACGAATTGGTCGTGAGAGTGTTGGAATGTTAGTACCCAGACAGTTGACCGCACCCATTGACTTCCATACTATATGTTTTTCTTGTATGGATGTCAATGGCTTCCGTCAACCGTCTGTTTACCAACATTTTTTTTAAAATATCTTCTTTTGTGTTCAACAGAAGAAGAAAAACTGAGTAAGTGATGTCAAAATTTTCATCCCTCTAAACTGACTCAGCTTGGCTGCTGCGGAAGTTGCTCAGTGCTGTCGTTAATGTCATGCTTTGATTGGTTATTTGACCCCATGCTTGGATGCATGTGTGTGTAGGAAGCTGAGACTCTTGAGGCTGCGACAAAGCAGTTTGAGGACCTGGAGTTCCAGCAGTTAGAGAAGGAGAGCAGTCTAGAGGAGGAGCGTGAGACCATCAGCCAGCAGCTGCTGCAGGACAGAGCCCAGTACCACAGCAGTGTCACCAAAAGAAAGGTAAATAGCATACACGCATATAACAATGCATGGAACCACCAAGAGCATCTCAAACTCTTGTCCAAATTGTTGCTTCCAGGACAAGGTTGCAGCGTTGGAAAGCCAGGCCAGTCAGCTGGGAATACAAGCTGCCCAGGAGTGTGAGAGGCTGGTCAAGGACAGAAGCGTCACCTTTCAGCTGCTACAGAAGGTACAGGAAATGGAAATTAATTTTAATGTACACTTTTAATGTTCTTCCCCAATTTAGGAACACTTAGGGGTGAGGACTAGCACCAAATTTCACCAAAAGCTACTCGTGTAATGGAAATCTGTTTCACATGATCTTCCATAAATCATTTTAATGTGCTGATTTGCTGCTCTGTGGTACCTTTTTTGAACTGATTGATTTGGAATCTGTGTTTTAGGAAAAGGAAAGGCTGGCCAGTCTGGAGAAAAGATATCTGAGCCTAACTGGTGGAAGACATTCCCCAAAAGCTCAAACACTATAAAGGAGGTAAGCAGGATTGTAATCATGTGCTTGTTACACAAGGCTACAATAAATAACTGCTGAATATCTACTCCTCTGCTTGAAATAAGTCAAAAATGTTGTTGAGCTATTCCTGTGTATGATCCCACCATGTTACCCTAAAATGGTTCATGTAGACCCATGTGTTTCTTTGCAAGACATGTTGCAATTCACCTTAGTGACCTTTGTAGTTTGGGTTTCTTGGGCTAGGAAAGCTATAAGGTTTAGCTTTTTAGCAATATGTTCCGGATAGCATATGGATCCCATGTGCCCAACCCGTAATAATTGGGTTAGCAAAACAGGAAATGAAATCTTTTAGACTCAGGATATTGTTTGACTTATAAACCTCCGCCCAGGATGTGCTTCACATCAGCGAGGCTGACCTCTTAGACGATGACCAGCCCTCCTCCTCCTCCTCCCCCTTTCATGCATCCTCATTCCACTCATATCCCATCATGCCTCAGGAGGTAACTAAACTAACAGTCAGTGCATGCAACCTGGCGCATTAAAAACTGACAATATTGACTAATACATGCTTTGAGAACATGGCAGTACAAAATATCTCAATTTGTGTTGCATTATTGAGAACACTTGACTTGTTGGGATCTCAAGTTTGGAGGCAAAGGCAAATCACACTTCCTTGGAAGATTTGAATGGGGTTGATTGATTTTGTGTGTAGCCAACTCACTTATAAATCAGTTAGCTAATTTTTGTTAAGAGTTTGCAGAGTAAACTGAGTAAACTCAAAGTATCATTTTCAAACAATTTTGACTGTAGTCGGGCTAACTTGTAATTTGTAAATCTTAAGAGTTAGATGGAGGCATGACGTTGTTAGTGTCACTGTAGTTGTATGAATATGACAGAACTGCTCTTATGGGGTTTGGATGTGAATAAACTGACAGCTGAACTTCTGTCCTGCGTGAATGGGTTGGCTGTTAACGTGTCTCAGGAGTACTTGAAGCTGTCGGATGTTTATAAGATGTATGGGAGTGATTGCCATGACATCCAGCTCGCCAACGCTTCCTCACATGGCCTCTCGCTTGCCCTTGACCCAGCTGTAACTGCCCCCCGTGAGGTATCATAGCTGCTCTCTTCTTTCTGCTTCTCTCTTTTCACCTTTTCCCCTCTCTTTTTCCTTTAGTGCTACTTACTATTGTGTTGTAGATGCTGCTATATATCATATACATGACCATCACCAAGCATTATAGTAGGATCATGCTTTGAATCGGGTGCTCTTTCCATTTTGAGAAGATAATTTATCATAAACATTCTGACAAATAATGTGTACAAAAAATGACACTACGCCATCTCAAGCTATATAAAGCGAATATATAGTATTTTAATAGAATATAAATTCAGATTATTGTCATTAACTAAAACTATTAAAACATTTTTGTTAATTAAAATAAAGCAGAAATAAATTACACCTATTCTTTGGAGCAAAATTGCTAGCTTGACATGTAATTTTAAAATTGAACTAAAAAACTCAAATAAAATGAACATAAACGGTGATGTTTTAAAAAAGAAGCTTATGAAAATGTCAAATTCTCAATTACAGAATTACAAAATTAAGTACAATTAATATGAATAATATAATAGTGAAAATGTGGTTATAGTATAGTTAAAAAAACTATAATAGTATATAAATAGTACTAGATTTGGATATAATTTTCATACAATTTCAAGGAAAATACATGCATATAAATAATAAAGGTAGAATATATTTTTGCTTTCATTAAAATTTGCAAGTTGGAAACAGATAAATAAAATAAATAAAGGGACATAAATGCCACCTGCTTTATAGAATGACCAAGTATCTGATTAATCTTTAGGCATGTTGCTATAAGGTGATCTCTTAGATGTTAGGTTTTGTCCTAAGCAGCTGCATTTTGTCATTCATTTTTCTGTTTCTGTAACATTGTTAGATAGTTCTGCTCATAGTGAAATCCCATTGATTGAAATCTCACTCCACATAACTGTATAATAAACATCAAATTATGTTCTAATTAGCTGTTTCATTTTCACTGTGAACAAATAAACGAACATATTGCAGCTGGTTAGGACACGGTATAATGGATGATGTTTATTTATTGAGAAATAGGGAACTGAATAACTTTGTTAATCATGTATTCTAGTTACTTATATACATTCTCTACAGATGCTAAACTCTCCATAACACGTTGTCTCTCTTTCCTGCTCTGCTAATTCCTGTCTTTTCCTCCTACCTGTGTCCGTTTGTCACTCCTGAATTTCAGGAGTATGTGACCGTGGGCCAATTAAACCAGATCTATGGGATGCCGAAGGTGGAGTCTTCCCCTACCTCACCCATCCAATTACTTCATCCTTCTCTCGCAGACTCCGCCTTCTCCTGCCTCCCCTCCCCTCATGGCTCCTCCCTCACTCTCTCCTTTGAGGTGTGTCTTTTCTCCTCTGTTCTCTCTCGTTCGATTCCTAGAGCTGGGTATCGCCAACTACCTGTGTCATTCTGTCACTGTACAAATCATTCAGTTGCTCATTAACACTCTTCTCTTTCTCTCTCTGGCATTCCACCGTCCCATCTTTCTCTCTCCTGCTCATGCTCTGTGACTCATACTAATGGATGTGCTGCGTGTGTAAAGCGTCAGTCGGACTGGGGAAGGCCTCAGATGCCCGCTCTAGATTTAGATCGCTGGTACCAGGAGGTTATGGCAGCTGGAGATGTAAACCAGCTCTGCCCTCCTCCTCCCGGCTAAAGCTTTGTCATCACGCAAGCCTGTGCAGGTAACAGGCCAAAAGCTCAGCTGTCATTCACCTTCTTCTGCTCTTCTTCCACATTTTCATCTTCATAGGCCTCACTATATGTCCAAGTAAGTTTTTTTTTTTTTGTGAGTTCCATGTTATTTTGTTTGTTTTGGCTTTTGGCTGTTCATCATCTCAAGGTTTTTTCTGCCATCTTCTGTTGTTTGGGTTGGCGCTATTGCACCTGTTCCTGGAGATTTACTCTCCTGCAAAGTTCAGCTCCAACCTTGATTAAACCCAAATAAACCTGCTAAATATGATCTTCAGGACAGAGATTGTCTTATTATTGCGAGAAATGAGGGGTCTATGGCTCTGTCATTGGAGAAAGCATAACGGCTAA